TTTTAAAGGTCTTTTTTTTCTGCTTCGGCTGAAAAAAGTGTGTGGGGGGTGGGGGATAGAGGGCACAGATATTGGAAGTGGGGATGGGGGGCATATCCCACCCAGTGCCTGTGGTGGTTACGCCCATGCTCTTAATTACTGTAACATTTGACAAAATAACCATTTAATTAAAATTGACAACAATCTAAGTGTTTATAAAATACTTTCTATAGTTTTCTTTTAGAATCCTGTGTCCACATTGCCATTTTACAGTAAAAAGAAATCATTCTAGTGTTGCTAGCAGGTCTCCAAAGTTCAGTTTTATTTTAATATTGTTTCTTCGCTTCTTATTTAAGGATCTGCTTGTGAGCGTAGCCTTGGCCTTCCTCTGGCTGACAGCATCATCTGCTTGGGCCAAAGGTTTGACCGATGTAAACTGGAAAGCTAAACCTACAACCATCATTAGTGGGATTGATGTTTGCAAAATTAGTACCAACAAGTGCACCCCAGGAGCCTTGCCTCATATGGGCCGACTAAACGCCTCAGTGGTGAGTTTTAACACAAGTTAGCGGTATTTAAAAAAAATGGCATGTGCGGACAACTCTGCCCTTGTAATGTTTACTTTGTTTTTACTTCCTCACAGATATTTGGTTTCCTTAATCTCATCCTGTGGGGAGGCAACTGTTGGTTTATTTACAAGGAAACGCCTTTCCACAAATCATCCACCCAACCGGGCATTGTGGAGGAAGGAGTTACATCATCATAACGGCCCCACTTTCTCATTTCCAAATCGCCATCACATGCAGAAGTGACTGCACTGAATTGTTTTTCCAGTTTGACTACGTTTCAAACTCACTTCAGAAAGTACTAAAACTTTATTATTTAGACAAAAATTGAAGATACTCATTGCAAAGTATGAAATCAAACAGAAAATGTTATTCTGAACTTCATTGAGTGGTGCAGATTGAATACGTTCCAGTAGATTTTCAGAGATATTGATTAAAATTCTGAAATGCAGGTCCACACTAACTGTAAACTAAAAACTGCTTAATCTACTGARAACTACATTGTTTGACCTACTTTCACTCTCTTTGGTTGTTTCCGTCGGTAAACAAACATACATGGTCTTTGATGTCAGATTTTTAGTTTAGGGACACGTTATCACTGATGTGGAAAAAAAATAGCATTTGCTATTTTGTTTTTATTTATTTATTAGTCCGATCTTCATGTCTTTGGGATGAGTATCTTTAATATAGATAATTCAAATAATCAAAATTATTACCCTAATCTATGCTAACATTTTACATTTTGAGTTTATTGAAGGGAGTGCCCCTTAAAATGTTCAATGTTTTTTTTTTTTGTACGGTATGCTGAGACACAAATACAAAATTATCAAACCTGCTTGGCCAATTCTTCACCTTTATGATGAACTTTTCTGTTTGCAGCACAACAGATATTGAGTATTTCTGCCCTCAGTAATCTTTATAAAAACTCAGTGCTATTGTGAGTACAGAAAAATAGTTCATTGAAAATACTTGAATGTGTTTGTAGTGGGCAGCACAACAGAAGACAATTGAATTCAAAACTCATCTGCCTATGAAACGTTAAATAATTTCATTGCAGTTTAGTTGTGATATGTTACATCTCATCATAGAAAGTTTTAGTGAGATTCTTACTTTAGAYCTTAAAGTGTTTGTGTTCTGTTTGGATTAAAATAGCTCTGCATAAATCTTTTATCTGAAACTTTTTCACTTCTAAACTAGAATCTGCAGMTGTGCTTTAAAAATTGCTTAAAATAAGATTTCAGTCTTGAAGTATTCCTTTTTTTAATTGAGTGTCTTATGCATTGTGTGCCTTCTGTTTTTGATCTGCCTCTGATTTTGTTTAAGCAAAATTTCTTTTCACAGGAAAGGTCATTTAGATTTAAATCTTTCACATGAGCTCTATGTTTTGCAAGTTGTTTCAATTTCTGCCATTCCCCTATTTACATAGTTGCTTCTCTTTCACTGTACTGACACTGTTAAAAATCTCAGAAATAAAACTGGATTCTTTGTATTAAAATCCACAGGTTTCAAATCTTTTAAATGGTTGTGCAGGTTTTGCATTTGAAACACAATCTAGAGGTTTTATGAACTTTTTCATAAAAAGGGTGTACATTAAGTTTTGTCACTTTATTAAAAAACTCATACCATTTTCATAAGCCGTATTTAATTAAACACTAGGTTTGTGTTAAAGGTTAGACATGCATACCAGCATGTTTAAAATATACTTCTATTTGCAATCTGAACATTATATTTCTTTATTTTAGAGTAAATTTTTGACTAACCCTTAACACAACTGCAGGTTTCCAAAATAACTGAATACAAATGCAAGAATTACACCACGCAGGTCACTGTTTATGTTTAACAACAACTGTACGGGTTTAAATTTCTATGGCCTCGTGAACTTTAGGGAAAACTTTTTCAGTGCAATTAAACTGGAGCAGGTGGGTAAACTCACTGTTGGACGACGCTTCAGACTGGATCTCTCTCTCTCTCTCTCTCTCTCTTTCTCTCTCTCTCTCTCTCTCTCTCCTCTCTCTCTCTCTCTCTCTCTCTCTCTCTCTGTCTCTCTCTCTCTCTCTCTCTCTCTCTAATTCCTTGAAAGTGAAACTAAAAAGCCTCTGGGAGTCCTCGTGCTGGGAGGGTTCAATCAACAGTCACTAACAAAAGTCTTCTTTGTTGGGTTTAACAGAATGAGTTAAAAGTTCCGCTTTATAAAATAGGAAAAACTACTTTTCCACAACATATATAAATGCACCATTTGTGTTCAAACATAGTGTTTTGACTCTGTAGAGCAAATATTTACATACTGTATAGGGTACAATGAAATCTCAAGACTATCAAGGCATGGGGCGTTGGATTGGTCACCTGATTTAACTGTCAGTTTTTGAGAAAACCTATCAAATCTCAGTTCACATATTCCTATATTTATTGTCACAAATGGCAAAGTTTGTATTTCTTCTTTTATTTCTTTTTTTACATCATTGTGGTAAAATGGCTTGTAACAGTGAGTAAAGATGATGTAAGGGTTTTACTCTCAGAACGTGCCATTCATCATTTTACCACAAGATGGTGCTCCGTGATTAAAAGTCAGTATAGCCCTTCAGACACTTGTTTGAACAAACATTATCTAAAAACAGCTCCACTGGTGAGAAGTGAAATTAAACTGTGATGCTGTAAATCTTATAAAAAGCTCTGTTGTCTGCAGAACAAGTTAGTCACTTCACTGCCAGTCAGTTTAAACCAGTTTAATATTTCTCACAGTGATAATTCTGTATCTGTCAGCTGTATTAACATAATCATATAACAGTTTAAGTATTTGCTTTAAGGAATCATGACAGATTATAATACAAATTAAGACAAGACAAGCATAATTCTTCAGTTTTTATTAGGTAAAATGATAGTATGTGTTTTTCTTTGAATGCCTACTGGTTTGCACCTATCCTGAAGCTTGTAAGCATACCATGCAAAGCCATTATTCTTTTAACTATGAGGCCTTTATATGTCTTTATGGCAGCAACTAACCACCTCATCTGTAAAGTTATGGTCAATAAACACAGTGCTTTCATTTCTGTTTAAAGCTTCCTTCTTGTCCGTGTGGACGTCTGTCATAGCTCTCTGTTAAAGCCGAAAAGCTCTTAGCCTCATCACCTCAGGGCTGTTTCCTTAATTGCTCTTTCGTTTCTAAATGAATGAGGGGGGTGGAGATAAAGAACATCCTTTTTATCTTTTCTTTTAGATCTGGATAAACGTATCACCACTGTGAGGGAACAAATGACCAGATCTTAAAACCAACTTATACTGTAACTGAAAAATTTTAAAAAGCAACCAGTGAGTTCACAACTTCTAGAATTGACATAATCCTGAGATCTACCCTCTATCTAATAAAGCCATATGAACCCATTCATGTTTAATAAATTTACAGGGAGAAATCTACAATTTCCCTGTCCCCACAGCTCCACACGTCAGTGAACGCAGCAGTTTAAAGCACTGTGTTTTCATTTCTTATGGCTTTTTGAGCAAAGTCAAATACTGACAGTGTATTATCTAAGTAGCTACATACAATACTCACTGCCCATCAGGATGCCTCTTTATTTTTCTTAAATGGCACTCTTTCCATGCCATTTTCTAAAACAACTCAACTGGATTCTCTCTAATTATATTTGCTTTATCAGTCAAAGTGAAAGATTGACCCCATTTCAATAAAAAACATTGATAACAAGACTTGAACGTCGAAACAACTAACAGCGCAGTGGCCGACGAAATGCAAAATGAACAGCAATATACATTAAGAGTACAGTCAGTACACTGATAGAACAGCTACTCGATACTAAACACAGAAAGTGAGCATCAATAAATGTATATTTATATGTGTATATATATATGTTGTTAATATAAATATACAGGAAGGCAGATTTGCTTTGGAGAAAACAAAGTCACCGTTCTCCTCTACCTTTGTAGGAGCACTTAGTTTATCACTATACACAAGTACAACATGTATCGTGAGTGACAACACAGAGGAGTGGAACACTAACCAGCCACAGCAGGTTTTATTGGACCGACGCGGTGTTCCTGCAAGAAAACACACAATGATGGGGGGTAATTCAACGTGCTACTCTAAAGCCACAAAATCTGGTTGTGATTCCCGCCGCTGTCTGACTGACCGCACCTTTGAGATGTGATGAGAAAAAAATCAATGTCTGCTCAAATAAAATGCAATCAGTCTGTGTCGCCTGGAGCTAAATGTGGCATTATTCAAATGCATCTCTGTATTTTCATTTTATTTAGTTGCTGCTGTCTATATTTCTCCACCTGGTATCTCAGTGTGTGACAGAAATGAAATGATTCACACACACCACCTTCTCTTGACAAGTGTGACTTCCTTTTCTCACCCACACAGGAGATGCTGCGGTGCGCGCAGCAACTGTGAATATTCCACCAGTTTTTTTTTTTTTGCGTAAAAAAATATTGCACCTATAAACGTGTAAATTGAATTTTATTTGCGAGATGTGGTTTTGATCTAATTGGGGCGTTCTTACGATCGTCGTTTGAAACTTTTGAACGTGAACTCAAACAACGTGACAAAGCTGGTGTAGTGCTCATCCATCCAACCGTATGACTCAGCTGTGGAGCAAATGCTCAATAAAAGCCCCCCCAACAACAAATTGCAGGCTACTTAAAGGGCATGGCATTCATTGCCTGGTTGAGCGATTGCTTTTGAACTCAAGAAAGGCCAGCGTCATGATGACAGAGAAACAGAAACAAAGCAAACACATCTGGGCTGAACTGGGCCTGTCAGTATACACGGACGCCTTTGTTTCGCCGTGACTCATGACAACACATCAATCCCCTCCAGCTCAGAGAGACACGGGAAAGCAAAAGAAAGCTACCTCCTATCAAAAGGTGCAATCAGCATTTATGTCAGGTATTGTGTTGTGACACAAACGTCGCACAGTTTGATGAAATCGCCATTTTTCAGGATTCAGCCAAGGTGCTCCTTGTCGACGAAGAACACTTGCGCAGCGCACCAGGCGTCTTTGCATGGTAAATTAACTCTACAGTAAATTGAACGATCTCGACTGAGGCAGAAAGAATCACTTCTGAAATTCTGTGGAAATATTTCCCATCTGAAGCTACAGTGCTCAAAGCAGCTCTTTCTCGCCAGTAATGGACATGTGTTATTATTATTATTCACGAGCTTATTTTCAACAAGAAACCATTATGGTTTCATAGTCACTCAGACTCTTAATGTTTCCATACTAAAATGAAATAAATTATCTTCTAATGGCAGGAGGGGGGAAAGGCCTATGTTTTACTAGTGAACTGATGAACTATTCACTGAGCAGGATCTTACATCTTCTTATTTATGGTGTCTGAATACAAGTTGGTTATAAGAAACTAGAAAAAAAATGGGCACATCAGGAACGTCTGCTGTTTTTCTATGCAGAACAAACCAAATAAAGCACATTTTTAGCTTTAATTTGGAGCTTAACACCCTGCTGACAGAAAGTGACGTTATAACTGGGACAAGAGGCAAATTTCACAGCAAGTGGCACCTCAGTGGACAACAGCCAGGATCCAATCTGGTCCTTGTAAGGACTCTGGTGTCTCTCTGTTTACAGGACTGAGACGATATGTTGATAATTAGTCAAAACAAAATACCTCCTCACACCTTACATGCGTCTGCCGGAGACTTTAATTGTGCAAGGCTGGAAAGGTTTCTGTTGGGTTTGAATGTAGATGTGCTGTAATGACAGGAAAACTGTTCTGATACACAGGTTGTACCATACATTTACTGTATGTCAATGTATCCCTTAACGTACGATCGCTGTTTAATATGGCTAGAATCAACTATTTATCAGGATGATATGACTTCATCAGAGAAATTCATGTTTCCTTTACCTCGATTGTATTTTATTAGGTTAGRACCTCATGTAATGTATTTTTATGGCATGCTGTTTGACTATATATAACTCTAGGTGAACGTTGTGTATACTCACAGCCTGGTGATGGCAGTCTGTTCTTGTGGGAATAGAGGAGGGGTTTCTATGCTCTATATAGGATGCAGATCTTTCATGTTACATGTATATAAGAGGTTTGAATCTAAASCAAATGGCTGTCTTTTTAAAAAATATTAAACCTGTGCATTTCTCAAATTTTCGTTATCTAAGTCACTTCCTGAGTGCTGTTAATAACTACATCTCTTGCTCACATAAGGTTGTTTGTCCATTTCCACTGCCGTTCCTTCACAGTATGAATAGTAATTGCTACAAATTAAAATGCTGGAAACATACTGCTCGTTGTCCTGTTTAACAACAGAACAGTTTGTTTTGAAATCCCTTTGAGACTCTGTGTTCCAGTTGCTAGAAACTACAGATGAGCGCCCCCTCTGCTGATCTCCTGGGTACGGTCGCAGTCAAGAGTTTACAGGAGAGATATCATGGCTCACGTCGTGTCATTCACAGCAAATCAAATTACATTTATCCTCCCATCTTAAACCACCATCGGTGTGTCTGAGAAGACGGAGCTAATGGACTCTGCTACTGATTTCTTTCTCTTCCCCCTCATTAGAGCAGCCTCCGCGTCCTGATCGTCCTCGTCCTCATCCCCATTGGGGTTCAGCTTCCCGTTCTGGCCCTGYGAATCTTTGGAGTCTATGAACGCCACGTGCCGGTTCAGCTCGGCTTTAAGTACCGGGTCCCCGTGGGTGGGAGTGACGCTGAGCATGGAGGAGTGAATGCTGTCCTCGCCTCGAGCCTTGCCCTTGTTAGGGCAGCAGAAACAGCGGCAGGGTGTCAGGTACAGGTACATGAGCACCAGCACCACGCTGGCCAGGCAGCCGACCAGCGTGGTGTACGCTGTGTTCAAAGTCTCCCCGGCACCGTGCATGGTAAAGTTGTGAACCTTCAGCACCACATAGATAGTTTCATTGAAGGCCTCRCTTGTAGCAAAGCACGTGTAGGTCCCAGAGTCCTCGTACCTCACCGGACTGATCTGCAGGCTCCCATCTAACAGAACCTTTGCCGTCTGGTTGCTTTCAGACGTCACCAACACATTATCAGGAATCGTCCAAGTCTTCACCACGTTCCTGTGTTTGGTGTCACATTTAAGGATTATTGTCTGCTCCAGAAAAGCCTCTTCGTCTGCCTCCTTGAATGTRCTGCAGTTCATAATTTCTCCGCACAGACTAAAAACACTAACTTGGGATTTTTGTGGATCAGCCATGATGCACGTGTGGTTAACCTTAAAGTCCACGACGGGATTCAGCTTTTGAATTTCCCAGTGAGCCAGGAGTGTGTACAGATCACAGTGACAGTGCAAAGTGTTGTTGTGGAAGTAGAGGCCATTTCTCAGCCAGGCGGGCAGTGCCTGAAGGTCATCCAGGGGCAACTTCTTGATTTTGTTGGAGGACACATCCAGGAGGCTGAGCTTTTCTGGGTGGAACCTGTCTTTGATCAGCTCCACGGGAAAGCGGGACATCTGGTTCTGGCTCAGGTAGAGCTTCTGAAGGTTGATCATGGTAACAAACGCTGAGCGTTCGATCTGGGAAATTTGGTTGTTGTACAACAAGAGGACCTCCAAGTTGACCAGAGGCTCGAAAACGAACTCGTCCAGCTGCTGCAGCGTGTTGGACGACAGGTCTAAGTAGCGCAGGTGCTTGACGTTTACGAACGCCTCCGACGAAAGAAAATGCAGGTTGTTGTGGCTGAGCAGGAGGTTGTGGAGATTCGGAAGCTTGACCGTGGTCCAATCCGATTTGAGCGAATGTATCTCATTGTAGCTGAGGTCCAACACCGCCATGTAGTGCGGCAGACCGACGGGGATGGCGGACAGGTTCATCTTGGAGCAGCTGACTATGTTGGAGGCGCAGATGCACGTCTTATGGCAGTTCAGCGTGGATCCCTTCGCCTCAGGAGGCCAAAGGGCTGCCACACAGAGGGAGAAGAACACAACCCATCTCTGAAACTTATCCCTGTGGGCCAACGACTCCAACAGGCGGTCGCCTGCTCCAGAGGGAGGCTGCAACATGCTGAAAGTTGTGCTGGGTCCAAGAGGGGTGTTCTATGATCCCATTCTCAGAACAAGCGCATGGAGATGCAGACGAGGGATTTCCAACATTTCTGTCTGAGGACTGAAAAAACAGCAGAGAGATTGTTTTAGAGAAAACACTTACAGCAACAAAAGGATCATTAAAAATGCCTCGAAGTTAACTCAATCGACAGAAACATATGAGAAATTTTTCACAGTGTTTTTAACTTACAATAAACCATTTAAACATCAAAATACTTCAATTAAACTCCTTTCTCTTCCTCACACGGATTCAACTTTTCTCTGCAGCACGGCTTTAAAGCAAACACTCTCAATCCCCATATGCACATTCACGCTCCTAAAAGACACTCCATTGATTTTCTTGCTCTGCCTATTTTCCTAAACGCTACCCCCCCCCACCCCTTCCTTCCCCTCGCCATTTCTTTATCTTCCTGACACAATCTCATTCTGCCAAGCCAAAAGTGCAAATAAATTCAGACACACGCACGCAAAACACATGCAAATGTCCACGTCGTGTCATGTTCAGAAATGCCCTCACTCATTTGTGACAGAGCTGCATGTGCGAGCGTTGCACTGCACCATTCGGTCTGTCCGAGGATAAAAAAATAAAAAAATAAAAAACAATAAAAAACACGAGCACAACATGATGCATGGAGAGGGGGGAAGAGGGGAAACACTTGCCTTCAACCAGGACAGAAGCGACGCTGATTTCATTTAAACAGATCCTTGTTTGTTTACAATGTCGCTGCATACAAAACAAACAGTGTGAGCTTCCGTGTCTGCCTGCAGCTGAGGAGAACTGATCCTGGTCCTGATCCAGGGAGGAGGGACGCCACAATAATCCACGAGGCATCCAAACACCCGGTGGGGGGGAAAAATACGCAAAAGAGGGAGGAAAGAAGGCAGCTGACGTAGACAAAAAAATATATAATCTCGTTTATTTACCCATCAAGCAGCGCTGAGCAATCCTGTTTTTTTTTTTTTTTTTTTTTT